TTTGGTACTAGGGATCGAACTCTGGTCCTTGTGCTTGCAAGGCAGGCAGTGGAACTACTGAACTAAATCCGCACCCTCTATTACTAATCTTATAAAATAAAATTCCTTAAGGTGAGACCAGTTACTCACCTCGGTGTCATGTTATCAACGCAGTTTCTGCTATGCAGGTTCCCAAGTAGGGAAATAAATGAAATATCATTATGTCCACATTATTACATTTAGATTAGGGTTCAGTTTGCCTGCTGTAGTGAAATCTATGAGGGCTTACATATTTTTATTATAAAGCTGACAGATTTCTTTTGTGAACACCGTACATTTGAATTGGCTCTCGTCTGATACATTTTCAATTTTTCCAGGAGTGGTGGGTGATTGGATAAACTACTTTACTTCAAACCAGAAGAGAGTATTTGATGAACTATTCACAGAGAAAATGAAACACAGTGAACTGGCCAGACTCTTGGAGGAGATCTCTTAATACACATAGAAAATGAAACTAATTTTCATCTTCTTTCAGGCAGAACTTGGGGAATATGTAAATATTTTTCACCCACATGGAAAGCAGATACTGTATTTCTTTTGATGAGAAACAGATAGTTCATGAATGTGTCAAAAATATCATGTATGAGAGACTAGCATTACTGTATTTGGTGTAGTAGAAAATTATAAGTATAAAGGAAGATTAGAGTTTTTGAATAGTTGAATCATATATCTGTTTCCAGGATATGCAGCAAGGCACAAAGATGACTTTGACTTAGAAAGGAGCACAGTTTTGTAGGTGTTGCATAAGCTGCATTAATGTACAACAAAAAAAAAGTAAGAGATTATCTAAAATAACAGATATCCGAGAAGAATTCATTTTCTGCCTGTTTGGATAACTACAACCTCTGGGCCAACATTTTTGTCTCAACATTCTCTGGTGTCTGTGTAGAAATAGTCTCCAATGTCATAACGAAGATGAACGCAATCTCACTGAGGTGCCAACACCTAACTGACAGATTATATAAAATGACCGCCTTCCAATGTACCGGTAAAAATGAGAAATGAAAAAAAAAAAAAAAGGATACTCTTTCACATTCACACTGGCTTGGCAGTCCGGTATTTTCTTTATCTTGATTCATTTAAATTACACACATCCTTATTTTCCAATTTTAAAAGTTTAATTTTAATTTTCTTCAAAGTGTTTGATTCTTCATAGTATTTTGAATATGTGTGCTTCCTTCCATAAAGTCGCTATAATTCTCTCTGTAATGAGTGTTATTTCTACAGCTTTCACTTAGAAAACATTGTTAAGAAATTTAAGGACTGTGTTATCTAAACGAGGGATACACAAATCATGTCACATTGTTTGCATTGTCAAAAGTATATGCTGTGTATGACTCTGAGCTGTGAACTCAAAGCAATGGGTTAATTCAGCCAAATACTTGTATTTTGTAGCTAGGGGTATTGTGAACCTATGTAATTTTTATTATAAATTACAGATGTAAATTTTTAGTGACTATTCTGGAGTAGCTGTGTAAGAGTATAGTAATTCAAAAAGAAGTTCGAGCTCCATCGATCTTCTGTATGCTCGTGTTTATTATAAATAAAACAGACTTTTTGATTTCATGCATTTTTTCTTCAAAATTAACATTTTGAGGGGTCCTTGTATAATTTTACTTTTTATCTTTGTATTTTATGAAAAAAATGCAACAAAACTTCATAACAAAATAATAAAAGAATAACAGCAGTTCATACACTGTGTGTCATTATCTTCAAAATAGTTACTCAGAGTACAAGGCATAAAGAAAGATTCTTACAAAAAAGAAACTGATAATAACACAAAACCATCTTTTCAGTGAACTAATAAGCTAATGACATATAGTGAAAAAGATTAGCATATATCCTAAAATATTTTTGAAACAACAGCGTATATAATTCAGGGACACATTTGAAATGCTCTTGACTTCCTTTTGGTCTCTCTTTTGCTCTGCTTAGAGATTTACTGACACATCTCCCTTCTTCAGATGAACGAGGTTACTGAATTTCAAAAACAATTAGTGTGATCTTCTCAGTTGTTTTTGTTAACCATGTTGGGACTGCCATTTCACCTGTAGATGGCCAGGGAATGACAAAGCCATCAGAATAAAGCAAATGAGATCTGATGAAGCTGGCAGAGGAGAAAAACAGTAATTTGGGGCTGGGAGGTACCAAGTCCTGAGACTGTGTATTTTCTCAAAATGTTAAAACAATAACTGAAGTAAGAGGATTGAAGGCTGTTTGGTGACATGATAGTACTGTAGACTATAATACTGGCATATAAGAGAAAGAGACACAGAGGAATAGCTCATGGCAACTAGATGTTTGGTTAATCAGTTCAGTATTGGAGAGTGTCATTTATTTAAATCTAAGGCTTGATAAAATGATGGGGGGCTAGAGGTATGTGGATAAAGACTTCTCCTTTGGTCATACTGTTGGAAATGTCTATTAGAAACTAGGAAGTTGGATATAAAAGTCTCTCTGATGACTGTTGAGTTCCTCATTGGAGTCCATTGGCAAGTTCAAGAAGGTGAGAAGTAGTCAAAGTAGAGGATTAACAGCCAGTGTGGAAATGAGCCTCTGTCCAACGAATGCCTGGGAATCTTGGACTTCTCTGATAGTGACTAAGAGACTTGGGGAAATAAATCAAGTTGGATTGACCCTGCAAGTGAGAACGTGCAGTAAATGCAGAAGCTGGCCATTGCTTGGTTTGTTTCCACTTAAAACAGTTTAATAGTCTAAGCTGTGCTTGATGACAACTGACCTTTGCCATTCCTTCTTAATTTTTTATGAAAATATTTGCATAAGTAATTTTAAAATTCCCTCCCTGACTAGTGTTTCTAAGAGGAAAGTTCAGAAAATGTATTTTGTCAAAGCTTATTATCATTATTATTATTATTATTTGGTACCAGGGATCAAACTCTGGCCCTTGAGCTTGTGAGGCAGATCCCCGGCCCTTGTGAAAGCTTATTCTGTCCTTATGAGTCCAGGACTGGCAAACATCGCTCAAAAGTTGTATCTCGGTGCTACAAATATAATAGTACAGACATTCCTTGTATTACTACCGAGTCACTCTTCCTGTGAAATAAATTGGTCACTAGATGAGGAATTATGTAAGTACAGGCCTTACAATATTCAAAATAAACAAATGGTCAAAGGAAACTTTGTGATTTTGCTTTTATTTGTGTAACTCTTGCATGCAGTATGGTAATACATAATAGTACTGTACTCTACGTACAATCAGCAAAACTTACAGTGCTGCATAAAGTGTATTGTACAAAAAGTAGATATTGAGGCTCTATAAACAAGATATACAGAAGGGTCGTAAGTCCAGGCAGGGTCATAAATTTGAACATTGCACCTGGGTTGTAAGCTCAGTCATTACACGGGTAGGTCGTTAAGGAATAGCTGTCTGCATTTTCAATATTTCTTTCATTCAAGAGGCCAAAAGACAGCTAAAATATCTGTAAGTGATCACTTGTTTTTTTTCTTTTATCTGCTGTAAGTGGATGTAATCAGGCCCCACTGTATTCTCTGGGTATCTACGGACTTCGTAGGAATGCTGTCCTGTCCAGCTTTACCTCTCAAGCTTCTGCGGGACAGAGTAGGGTGGGAGAATGTCAACTCCACTCTGGTCAATTCCTTGCCAATCCCACTACTTGTCCTTTTCCCACTTCCTGGCCCGTGTCGTAGAGCACAAGCGGCTACCACTGGAGCTGGCCTGGTGGGTTTATATCACTGCTGGCCATCCTGGAGACAGGCTGCCCTGGGGTTTTCCCTTTCCAGGAGTTCCGGGTCCCCTCCCCTGAACTCTGACCTCCCCCTTTGCTTGCTCACTTCCTTGATTCTTACAAAACAATTTAACATGCATTTCTTCATGCAAACTGCCTCTACTATTTCTCTATTGATTTCCTTTGTCGCTTGTTTTTCTCCCAAAGACATGCACACACACACACACACACACACACACACACACACACACACTCCAGGGATCAAACTCAGGACCATGCCCTTGTGAGGCAGGCGCAGTGCCACATAGCTAAATCCCCTCCCAAAGACTCTTTGCAGGTTTTGTTAGTTGGCATTTTCTCACTTCCAAGGGTGCTTTTTCCTTGTTTCGTTCCATAACCTGCCTTAACCCAGTTCTAGGAAAACCTGCTCTGATAATCCCTGCTCCTTGCCCTCCTTATCTTTTATGTTTCTTTAACTCTCCAATGACTCTTCCTTTATATTTTAACTTCCCACTCTTAACCTTTAGAACATTATATTATTAGGTAAATATCCATCTCCTTTCTGGTGTGTGACGTCCTTGACAGTTGGAATCCAGATCCTGTTTTTTGGCTTTTCCACCATATACAGTCCAGCAGGGCATTCCTTATGGACATTTCAACCAATGTTGGCTGTGAGCTGGGTTCTTGGGCACACTGAAATTCTTTACCTTCCAGAAAACTCAGTTCCCAAACCGCAGCCCACGTCAATCCTATTTTTATATTCTCCTAGTACTTTATGTGTGCATTAGTCAATGCCTTTTTTTTAACCTGATCATATATTCCTTTCCATTATGGCTTAATCTGTTTCACACCGTGCAAGTCTTTCCTTCCCAGTCTTGTTGTGAACTCATGGAGAGCTCCTAGGAAGATTCTTCAGGAGCTGATGCAATGTTTTCACCACTGAAATCGTTCAATGAGTGTGGGATTTAAGAATGAATAGACACATTTCTGTCTCTTTACCTACTGGCTCAGCTGGTGGGGTCCTGATATGCCTGGTCATTTAATTCTTTGCTTTTCCTTCACTTTATAAATAAGTGAGTCCTAATATACTATGGATTCTTGCAATTCAATATCTCTTCATCTACTTTTTTGAAAAAAAATTTTGTAGATACATTAAAAACATTAAAATTGCACATATCAATGGGATAAGGTGTCAAGGCTCAAAACAATGTATACATTGTATAATCAGGTCAAACAAATGTATCTACCCAAACATTTACCACTTCATGGTAAAACCATTCACAATCCTTTCTTCTAGCTTTACAAAATATACAATACACAGTTGCTATCTATAATATTCTTCTTAAAACCAATCTGAGCGTAATGAAACACTTTACCATTTCTCTTTCAAAGATGAGGATAGGCAAAGATCAGTTGTAAATTACAAGAATAGCATGTAGCCACCACCTGTGGGATGAATACACATTCTAGGAGTCTTGTAGGGTTCACAAATGTGTATGTGCATTAACTTGTTCTTTTTTAGCAATACATTTTTATAATATATAAGACTATTAAATAGCAATACTCTTCAAGCATTTATAAAATACAAATTAAACAGAAACGGAAAACCAGCATCAAAGGAGGAATAATGTTGCATTTAAATAATGCTCACATTATATGCTTTTACATTTGTTCAATTAAAAGACTATTGGTCCTTTTTCTAGATGCTTAGGTACAGAGCCAGATTTCTCAGAATCAGCACAGGAATGGCCATTATGGTTACTTTGGATGGAAAGCTGTGTGACACATGAATCTATCAGTCAGTGATCCAGCTGGTACCAGGAGTAGCCAATTAGAAAACCAATTAGAGACAAACACTGTGCTTCATTTAGATAGGAACAGTTTGGATTTTTACCCTTCCAAAGTATGCGGATCATCAGCTCAAGCTTTAACAAAGCAAATTTGGGTAAATAAATGTGAGAAGATTTTTGTTCCTTTGCAATATTCTCCTTACTAGTTTAAAATCTGTGTCACTCTTAGTATATAGTTATAAGGGTTTACAAATCCTTAATTGTTGAACAGCTGTGTCACCACTATCCTTGGTATGAAAAGGAAATTCTCAGTCTGTTAGTAATAACAGGAGAATAAATATTAGCCAATCTATGTGTATGGTAAATGTGTGTATGCATATTTTTAAAATGATGACTTGTTCAGCTCAAATTTGCTGCTTTTTTTTTCAAAGTTTATATAAATTTACAAGAGATTTACTCTCATAGAGATGAGAATATAGGTCCTTAGAGATTCTCCATTGTGTAGTTCACTCCTTCATTTTGTGAAAGGTTCGTAGTCACCAGGATTTCTCCATGTAAATGACAGCCAAGGGAAGATTCAGCAGGCAGTG